ACATTGATGTGTATTGATTCCTCCTTGATAAGGTTCACAATGTCATCAAAATACACGTATGTAGACTTCGAGTGTCCTTTCCACACAAGTAGCCTGTGTATTTTAAACAAACTAATGTGAATATTAACGTTGCACAGTTTTGAACAAATCAAATAAATAAGCACAGTGGTGAATATTCACAATTATGGAGTGTGAATGTTGACATTAGGTGTTTGTACAGTCACTTACTCATCGCCTCCACTCTTTTGTAAAACCTGGACGTTTTGCTTGTCTTGTTTGGACATCATACTCCAGACTTTGAACTTGTTGGTCAAGGTCAATAATTTTTTTTAGGTGCTTCGCTGGTGGGTGTTTGTCTACATCTTCAACAATGTCGACTGTATGGGGCTGTTTTTGGCTAGGTAAGTCTGGGTACTGGAAGTCAGGCAAGCGATGCTATTTTCGATCTTTCTCCTTAATACGCTTCACCCTAGAAGATGGGCTGAGATTGTGTTGCATTAGGGCAGGGGGTTGCTTATGCGCCTCGGCTTATGTGATAATGTGGACTAACGGATCATCGTAAAGGTCCTGAAGAATTGTTTTCTCGCATTCGAAGTCGATGACCAGCTGCATTAAGCGCTTAATTTCTTCATCCTTCTGCTCTATGCACTTTTTTATTTCAGTATTCATGTTGGGTGGGCTTGACTGATTGAGCAATTTATGTTCAAGATCAGCTATGACTCTTACCCTTAACTCCCATGAGAATTAAAGGTGTTTGTACTTTGCTTCCCACTGCCTTATGATGCCCCAAGCCTTCCGATTTTCTTTGATAAGCATATCGATGATGTTGGGTTGGCTTGTATTTGCTATGACAATAGCTCTCTCATCATGTGGGCTGCTAAACGAAATGTGAATGTCCTCATTATTGTCATTCAGCTCAACTCCATCCCAGAAAATTGGGAGTTGCTGCCATTGTGTTGTTCTTCCTTGATGTTAGAGAGGTTGGGAGATATGGTGGCTGGTTCATAAATTTCGAGCTCCACCTTCAATGTTGTACACCTGAACTTTTGTAATTCTGTTGGGGTTACAAAGAGTTCGTCGTCATTAACCTGAAATGAAAAAGTTACGTTACTTAACGTATATATTTTGGTGGTGTCATAATATGAATGTTTTGATCAATAGTTAAAGGTCATACCTCATTAAAACCAATATCAGCCAAAGATGTGGTTTTCATGTTCTTTTGTAAAGTAGTCAGATCCCACTTGACACAGCGAGGAATGGCATTGGGCTTGTGAGGTTGTAGGATGGTTGTGTGCTCACACAACCAATACTTCAAAAAAACAACAAAGACATATGTTATTTAGCATTTGCATAGTAATGTCAACATATGTGAACATTAACAACAGTGGCATTGTTGTGAACATTCACAATAGTATATCATGAGTGAATATGAACATTCACATCAGTGGTACAGATGTGAACATTCACATCTGTGAAACATACGTGCATATGGACATTCACATCAGTGGTACATATGTGAATGTTCACAATTGGCATAGATGAACAACACTCAAGGACATGTGAATGTTATTATTTCAGAACATGGGTACTTACCATCAATAACATGACACAGCCGGTAACTTTTGCCTGGTTTTTGTCGTTTTGGAAAATAGAGGATGTCAACGTTGTTCTAATTTGCTTAGCCCAATCATATTCTTGCATGCTTTTCAAGGGGACCATATGTGCGTAGTAGCCCCATCATATTGTCTCATCGCTTATCGAGAAAAAAAGTTTTTGGCAAGTATACATGCAGACTAGGTGGGCGACTTCTTCGTTGTCATCTTTCTTTTTGCCTTTCAATGCCTCGATCAAAAGGGTACGTATCCATTTTGAAGTCAACCGGCTGACATTTTTGCACTTTTTGTTTATAATGCCAGTCTTTGGTTTCGCACCATATGATATGTCCATTGGCTTGGTGCCACAGTCCATAGCAAAAATCAGCTTGATGTTGTTGTCGTGTATGTTCATCTTCTTCTCCCCAATGTAGAAGGCATCTTTTGAAGCTTTGTACATTTGTAGGACATGCACAACAACATCATCGTACTTCATGCATTTGTCAAGGTCGATCTCACTGTTTCTCAATGCATCTAATAAGTGTCAAAAAGGTGTTTGCCGCAGGCAGCCAAGTTGTGCTTGTGTGAATTTGGTGCTTTTAATTAATTTCACCAATCCCGTCATGTTAGATCTGTAGTTGACACGCTGCATGTCAACATTGCTGCTAGTATTTGCTTGTGGGCTTTCTTCCTCGACATGGTACTCATCTCTTTTTCTCTTTGAGGTTTTCTTCTGTACAATATTTGCAAAATGGAGCATTTAAAAAAAATTAAGACAAGACTCATGTGATTAGCATTGTGGAACAAATATGAACATTCACAGCATTGCCATTGATGTGAATGTTCACAATTGTGTGCATGGGTGTGAATGTCCACAATTTTGTGTATGGATGTGAATATCCACATCTGTACATGGATGTGAATGTTGACTATGCCAGGACAAACACAATTTGCATATTGTGTGAGTGTGTAAAAATCAATGTATGTTTATACAACCATGAACAACATTCAACAACATGTGGATGTTAACACAAACATATAAAAGGATGTTGTGAACATTTACAATCCTAATTTGTATGGCAATGCACATTCTATGTCAATCTTATAATACAACCTCAAAATTGAAATACAATTTGAAACATGGGATAGCAAAAGTGATATATTTCCTCTAAACACAGTGGTTAATGTTCACAAAGTGTCTAATTAATTTACACATGTAATGAATGCTCACAACATAATTATGTATCACAACATCTAACACAAGAAATTTTAAATATGAGTGTTCACTACGGTTAATAACAGTGTCAATATTTGCAGAGATTGTACTTCATGCCACTTTCATGGAAAATAATCAAGAATTGAAGGTTCAAGTTATTGGATCACCATTAACAATCAACAACACCAACAAGGCAAACATTCACAAAAGGGGGAAAAAAATAACTACAATATTACAAAATAATAATTGGCCAAACATTTTTCAATCTATGTGAATGTTCACAGCTTTCAACAATAACAACAATAATATCTGAAATAATTTGATTTTCTAAACATTTTCAATCCATGTGAATGTTCACAGGTTTCAACAACAACAGAAACAATTTGGTTTGGCCAACATTCTTTCAAACCATTTGAATGTTCACAGTTGTGAACAGAACATAATGGCAACTGTAATATTTTTGAGTGAAAAAATCAATATAATTAGGGATTACGATTGAGGGATTCAGATTAAAGATTAGGGTATGAACAATATGGACTCCTATATATTGTATGAATAGAAATAGGGGATATTTTTGAAAGTTCACAATGTTGTTTGTTGAAAAAGAGATTTAGGGTTTAAATGCAAGAATGAGTAGATTATTTACGTTTTTTGCCCATTTCGACGCTTACATTGTCACAAGTTGTCGTCGAAAGTGATTTTGACGAAGATAGACCTTATGGATGTTCAACAATGGTGATTCCACGATTTCGGCGACCGACGGCATAGGGATAACGAAGAAGATGATGAGACGATGCGACGATAGAACAAAGACAGTCTTCTGGGCGTTGAAACGATATGGAATACGGCTTTGGATTTTTGAAATGATGGAGATACTGTGCGTGATTTCCTGCAAGAAGAGAGGGGAAGAGAGACGGTTGTTTGATTCAAAGAAATGATAGGCGCATGTTTGTTTCAGGGTTTTTTTCGTCTTTTAGTATGAAATTGACCTAATGGAATATTATAAAACACTATGGGTCTTATGAAATAACACTCTTAGATAATGGATTTACTGAAAAAGCACCCTATAAAATTAAAAACACAACACAATCAATTCCTAACACAAACAAATTATTCAAAATCCTAAACTTTTAAATCAACTCATAAACTAATACAAGCACATCTTTCAAAATCCTAAACTAGATCATTAATCTCATTCACTATCTACTGCCTAACAATACAATTAAAGTAAAATCATTCAAAATCCTAAACTTACCTAAAAGTAATTCTTCATTAACTTTTACATTCATCCAAAATGCAATAATAAAATAACAAACTTTTTGGGAAAATTACATTCAAAGAAGAGATACAAATATGCTAAAAAAGAATCCACACAGAAAAAAACCACAGAAAAGAAAAAACCAAGAGAGGCTATGGTTTTCTTTTCACCTCTCTCATAAACTAAACTAGTTTGCACTCATCTTTGAAATAATATCTAAAAATTCTATTACAGTGTTCAGAGTAGAATGAAGTTTCTCTATCTCCTTTGGAAGTTGAGGAACTTGATGCCATAAGCAAAGACGAAGAAGAAGAGAAGGACCCAACCAACATGCGCAAATACTACAGGAATGAGGAAGTCATATTCAAAACCCATGCTGTTTTTAAGGAATTCCTTCACTGTAGAGACTGACCCATCAGTGAAAGTAAGAGGACTGGTCTTGTCACCCACTTGTGATGTGAAAATGCCATAGATTGTCCAGGCAACTGGAGAACACCAATAGTACCACCTCCACCATATTGGGATAGAGAGAGAGAGAGAGAGAGACAGTGATAAAGTGTAAAGGACTCAGTACTGTCTATAAACATACCGGTAGAGGTCAGAATTGGCATAAATTTCTGCAAAGTCAACATCAAGTTGTGCCTCAACTGCAGTAGAGCTGACGTCCAACATCCAAGTAGCTGGATTGTAACCCTCCGTAATCTTAGGAACCCCCGGAACAGCCTTCAGGAGAAGTAAGGTATTGTCAAATTTTGATTCATCATACTTTGAACTTTCAAATTGATAATAGATGACTCTTTAGAAACTAGCTATGGAGGAAAATGAAAACTGACCTCAAAATATTCAACAAGCTTGTGAGAATGGCGACCGAGAGGTCCAGCATATATCACATTCCCTCCTCTCTTCATCAATAGAAGCTGCAAGGAAGAAAAATTCGTACAAATATATGAAGAATGCAAACTCCATATGGAGGCAAACTCTTAACATATTATGGAAAGAAGGACAAACTCTATCAAATTAAGATTGTGGTTACACCGTCTGATATCTGTTAAAGAAGCTAAATGTTAAACTTTGCAAAATGGTTCACAAACGGAGGAACAAAAGAAATTATCACTCCTCCTAGAAGGATTAAAAAAAAAGCTACATTTGCATGCCCTGGAGAAATGTGATACAGACATTGCTCACTATAAGAAACAGCTGGACTTGCACATAGTGCTCAGACATTAGCTTATGACAGAACATCTGGAACACCAAATTGCACTGAAGGGTACATAAACAAGAAAAGGCTATAGCGTTAGAGTAGGACAAACCTGAGCAGCCATAACTGGATGAACCATATTTTGAATTTGGCTTAAACATGACTCCAATGTGTTTCGTATTTTTTCACATCTCAACAAAATCTTATACCCTGTGATTGCCTGGAAAAATTAGTTAAACTAACTGTTAGACAAAGAATGATATGATTTACACCTACACTCTCCCAAAAAAAAGAGGATAAAAAGCATGATTACATTGAAGAAGGCAAACAAATAATGTATATAATGGGTTTTTTAGATAATAAATCACTTCACAAAATAAACAAGCTAGAACTACATTACAGAATCCCCAAGCATCTTCAAGTGGATGTAAAGTTTGATTCTCTTCTGGAGACTACTTTACATTGTAGAATCCCCAAGCATCCTCAAGTGGACGTAAAGCTAGAACTGCTTTACATTATGTAAAGTTCGATTCTGCTGTGACCCATTTTGTTTGGCTTTTGGAAGTATTTGAGGTTGAAGATTGAATGAAAATTTTCTTTCAGTTGATGAGGTGGTTAATGGAAACTCAATCCCACACATTAGATTGACAATATATGTATAAGCATGTTCAATCCCACACGATAGATTGACAATATTGGTATAAGCATGTTCAACAAAAATTAAAACAAAAAATCACAACAGTTTAATCAATTATGTAAATAGTAGTGAAAAATACCAAGTAGAGTTTACTAGACTCAGAGCAGTGCAGAATAAGTGAATTGGCTCTCTCCATGGCAAGGTGTAAAGCGCACAGAACCTTCATTCCTGATTGGCATCCTGGTCGAGAAGATTCAATGGACGAAAATATCTGCGAGATTTTGTCGATGCATTTCTTAAGCTCTAGGCACATTAAACGATGCACCTGTGGCCATCAAACATAGTCATAAAAATGTGTTGAAAGCAACAGCAACTTTGGATGGTGATTGGGTGCACCCTTAGCAGTTAATAAAGAATCACCAGCATATTAAAGAAATTTGGGAGGATATGCTTAGTTTATTTCATTCATAAATCTTGAAATACTTAATTTGGTGCAACTAAATTGCGTTAAATCTTGTTCTCAACGGACAAAATAATACTAGAGATGCTAAAATGATAATTACATATCCTAAAACTCAAAGACAAAAACTACTATTTACCTTAACGGTACAATATGGAAGTTCCATAAGGTCAGCACCTCATTCACATTTTTTAATATCTGTGGCCTGCACATTGAAAGTGATAATCATAATGTCTTCAATTAGTGTTCCTGAAAGAATAAAGTAATTAATGACTGAGCAATCAAAGTTGATAAAAGTCACATGAACCCAAACAAATAAATAAATAAATCAAATTCAATTTCTAGGTATGACTAGAAAGCTGTATGTGAAATTCAGGAATACATGCTAATTGCAGACATCCAAAAAAGGAGAAAGTCAATTGCTGTTGTGACTCTAAAAGAGTAAGCTATGAAGATATTAAAATAGTTCAAATAATGTGACTTTAAAAGAACATACTTTTCTGAGCCACCAAACATGAACTGAGAAAATAAACTATCAAAACTAGTGTTTCTCATGTAAACGTATAAAAACTGCAAATTGCGAAATTCATCCCGAAACTGAAAGCCATCTAGCAAATAAACACAAAAACATTTATGCACTTGTTTTCAACCTAAAGGGTCCGGAAAATAGTATGAGGTTCGATTATTAGGACCTTCTCAAGTGTCTAGTAAAGAAAATCAGCTCAACCAAAAGTCAATCATATCTGGATTCACCTATAACAATAATGCCATGGGCAAGTATATATCCCGTGATAAGTATTATGTCTATGAACACTTTTCTTCCACCAAATCAATCTTCATAACTAACCTCGTATCTATGCCGATGTCGTTCATCCACATACTCTGAATTATGGTACCTAGAAATAAACAGAGAATATAGTATTATGCATGCATGAAGGAAGATGAAAAAATCAAAGAAACTTGATTGGAAAATGTGGACATTCATATCTCGCAGAAAGGGATGTTGGGTTCACTTTTGGAAATTATTAAATGGAGCATTGATATCTCTTACAGTTTTTCAGTGATACAATCAGGAGTCTGAAACGGCGTTTCACGACACCCCAGTCTCATTGTGCTTCCCATATGTGTTCTTGAACCCTGTATAAAAATAGAAAGATGATGGTTATTAATTTGCTATAACCAGTGTTTCTTGCAAAGGAGTAGCTCAAAAAAATGCAATACAATGCAAGCACCTCTGGCATGAAAATTACAATAGGATTGGGTGTCTCGTTGTCAAATTCTGTACTATTTGCCTTTTCCCAACCCAAAACCTAAAACATGTGATGAAAATAAGGTTAGTACATGGTCTGTCATATGAAACATGTCAATCTATTGGAAGGAAAGTCACTTACAGATCTAGCATACTCAATAACAGAAATCTGCATGGTCAAGCAAATCCCAAGATATGGAACTTTATTTTCTCTGGCATACTTTGCAGCTAGCATCATTCCTTTCACACCACGATCTCCAAATCCACCAGGAACTAAGACACATGTTGCATTCTGAAAATGTTTGGGTAACCAAATTTGTATGATTTGGTGAAAATGTTCTAACTAAAAAATTAATGGCAGTCCTACTCAATACTAGCTTAAGAACAATGAAGATGGTCATTGCTTAGGTTTGAACAAATAGTATGCTCAACACTCAACTATCAAAAAGATTAAAAATATAATAAAAATAAAAGGAAGTAAGAAAAACATGCATCTATAGATAAATATGCATCTATAGATAACATGTATCCTGGTATAAAAAATAACATGGCGTGAACGGAAGAAACATGAAACAGTGAAACAATCACAAACCTATTTATACCAAATTCCAAACAAATCAGAAGACTGCTGGGAAAGAGGAAAATCAGAAGATTTGGCCATATAGCCAACAACGAATACAAAGAGGTTAGAAAATTCCCAATAATGTTCTTCTGTAATCATGAAAATAAATAATGTAAATAGAGACAAATTATGTGAGGTGTGTGTATATTCTTTGTTTCTTCTGAAAAGTACTCAACTCAACAAATCAATATCCCAATTATTTGGGGTCAATTATTTCCTCCAATTGATTCTATTTGAAGTTATATCCTCAATTAAATTTAAGTTAATCATGTTATTTCTTAACACCACATCTCAGGTTCTCCTCGGTTTTCCTCTATTTTTTTTTTAATCACCCTCCACATGGATCAAATTACTCCTCAATTCCCATGTTCAACTTAATAGGAATTGTGCAATCACACAACCATCTTGATACTTTTCCACTTTTTTGTACAACTGGTCACCTCATCCACATAGAACTAGTTTCCTATTTCATTACTCCTAAATTCACATGTTAAACTTAATAGGAATCGTGCAATCACACAACCATCTTGATACTTTTCCACTTTTTTGTACAACTGGTCACCTCATCCACATAGAACTAGTTTCCTATTTCAAAATCCATTTCTTCTTAATTATTCTATTCTTAAGGAGAGCTAAAATTTCTTGTCTTTCAAAAAAAAATGTATTAGAAAAAAAAACAATTACCAAAACCTTATGTTTAATCAAAATGTTTTCCGAGTTCTAATCATCTATTTGATATAAAATCTCTTTCCAAAAATCAATCCCGGTGCCTCAATACTAACCAGCAAATACATTGCTAAATCAAATGCGAATACATCGCTAGACAACAACAAATACATTTTTAAAACCATTTTCCAGACATCCTGTTCCAAATCAACTTAATAGTAAATAAATGGGTGAATCTCCAAAACAAACATAACCTTTTATGAAAATTTCATCTACGGGATTGGCACCCATGTATACGTGCAGTTGTCAGGACTTTCACTCTAGACACACATGCCAACTTATTTGATGTAACAATAACTTTCTCCCAAATTCACCATTTTATTTACCGTTTTCAATAGTACAATACATGTAACTCAAAATATTATTTTTCCAAAACAATGCAAATGTTCCAAGACATAATGTAAGAATTTCCAAAACCTCTTTTCAAAACTTATAGTTTTAATTTCCAAAATCCATTACATGCTCCATGGTATGAATGATTTCAAATTGCCTATTCCATATACAATTTCTAACACACGGTAATGTTATCCTCCACTGATAGCCAAAACAGTTATCTCTAATGCAATAATCAAAAGATATCAATATAGATATATTTTCCAAAAGAGTAACAACAACCATTTCCAAAATCTCACAACCATTTTCTTCTCATCTCTTACAAAATCAACATCATTTTTCAATGTTTCCAACACAAGGCAAAACCCATGGTTTTAGAACAAAACCTCATTTTTCTTCAAAATCATCTTTGAGTAAATGAAAGCCACCATGTCAACATATCTCAACCACTAATACAAAATTATAACCTTGTTCAAAACTCATTTGAAAAATTCCTTTTTTACACTTCAAATCCAAACCCCAAGTTTGACCCAAAATACCCGAATCCATAGATCTTTTGAAGTAACAAATAAGTAGAGTAAAGATCATACCAAATGACTGTCAAATATAAATAACAAAATAGGTCACAACTATGCTACCGAACTTATATTGAGTTTAAGAAATAGACCCTACCTCTTGAAGCGAAAAGGAGAACTCAAAAAAACTTGAAGTCGATGAAACCATGAAATTCTTAAATCAAAAGAAAGCCCTTGACAAGATCTACAATCTTTCTCAAAGGACTAAGGTGAAAAGATGCCTCTACGTGAGTAGATATAGAGATCTAACTGAAAAGTTGGGTTTCTAAGAGGGAGAGAGAGATTCACAATGTAAAGAGAAGAGAGAGACAGAGACAGAGACAGAGAGAGAGACAGAGACAGTGGAGCTCACCGATCTAAATCGCTGAGATGAACTTCGATTTCGATTTCGAGAGAGAACTTTGAAATGGCTCTGATGAATCACCAATCTGTTTCGTTGAGACCATGCTGAATCTCTGAATCACCGAGCTGAATCCCTGAGATTATTAGGGTTTAGACAGCAGTGAAGCTCACCGATCTGAATCGATTCACCGATCTGAATCTTTGAGATCATTAGGGTTTAGACAGCAGTAGAGCTCACCGATCTGAATCGATTTTGAGAGAGAACTTCGAAATGGCTCTGATGAATCACCGATGTAAGATCTTCGAAATGGCTGTGACTTCGATTTTGAAAGATCTTAGACAGCGCAAAGCGAGAGAGCTCCAGATTTTCATTTTCGCTTATCAGATCAAAATAGCTTATTATATTCAAAATAAAGGTTGAAAAGACGGAGATAAAGAGCGCGTGGGACAACACCATTTGAAGGCGTTCAGAAGCGTCTTCTATCCATGAAACGGCGCCGTTTTGATTAAACGAAAAGGTGATGTTTACAAAATGTCATTAAATATTTGAAACAGTGACGTTTTCAAAAACGCCATTAAAAAAACGCCTCCAAAACAGATATTTCTTGTAGTGTATAATGCTACAATAAGAATAAAACTAAAAATTAAACATACCTAAAAGCAAAACTAGTAGCATACAACTTGAGCAAAAGAAGACATAATGGTTTGCTGAAGATGAGGGTGCTCTTTTGTACTCATGGTTTTGAATAATTTTATGCACTTATTATTTCTGACATTTCACCTCAAATCATTGATTAATTGGGGGGGGGGGGCCAAGAAAAATTAATAGAAAAATACTATACAAACAGCACATGCAAAATGAATATGGATGTTGAGCTGTTCAATATATAAGACATGGGGAAAAGTCAATTGATTAATAAAAGCCAAGAAACAAGTCTAACAAATCAACTAGTAATGAAATTCTATTACTAGTCCATTGGATTTGTCTATTTGTCTTACCTTCCTCGAAATCCCTACCCCAATGTTTCTACTAGTTCATCACCACAAGCCGTTGCCTGCTATCTCTCCCATTAGTTCCACAGCGTCATCGAAGCAGTCATTCCACATTCTATGTAATGCCCGCTTCTCCTCGGCTGTCGTCTCAAGCTCTCTAATCTCTTCAGCTAGTTTGATAATGGTGAGTTTTATAGAAACTGCCTTCTCATTTAGCTCATTAGTCCCTCCATTTTGTTCAATAACAGTGAGCTCTTTTTTAGGATACAATGTTGGACCTGCAACAAGAGCATAGTGCTTTGCAATCTCGGCTAAATGTCCAGCAAAGTTTGGGTCTACAGGAATAATGTCAACTTGGAGACCAAAGTGACCACGTGCCATTCCCCTCAAACGATCAAAGGCAAACTTAATTTCAAAGCCTGCATATTGACCAAGCATGAAAGAGTGAAACCAGCTTAC